GCTCGTCTGTTTGTGCCCCGGGGCAATGAGACGGAGCCAGCTGGCATCCCCGCTGCTTTTGGTGGGAGTCAAAGCCCTGGGCGATGAGCCGGGAGATCACAGGGTGGTAGAAAGTGAAGGTGGGAAGGGACCTCAGGAGGCCATCAGTCACCCCTGCTCCGAGCAGGCCCAGCTCCAGCTAGATCATCCCAGCCAGGGCTTTGTGTAGTGGGGGCTTGAAAACCGTCAAGGATGGAGATTCCCCGTCTCCCTGGGTAGCCTGTCCCGGGGCTTTACTACCCTCCTCATGAGTGGGTTTGCCCTAATATCCAACCTAAACTTTCCTTGCTGCAACTTGAGACCATTGGGCTGTGTCCTGTCATCTGCTGCCTCTTTATAACTACCCTTCTGTGGTTGAAGGCTGCTATTAAATCCTGCCCGCCCTCTTCTCTTCTCCAGTTCCCTCAGCCTCTCCTCAGAAATCATGTGCCCCCGCCCCCTCATCATTTTTGTTGTCCTTCACTGTACTCTTCCCAATTTGTCCATATCCTTTTGGGGGGGATTGGACACACTACTCCACGTGTAGCCTCACCAGTGCTCGATAGAAGGGAAGAATCCCTTCCTCTCTACTAGGCACGGGTGAGGCCACATCTAGAGTACTCTGTCCAGTTTTGGGATAAACCAGTCAACTGTTTTTAGCCTCATATTTCACCCTTCCAGGGCTTAAGAGGACTGTTGGCTGTTGGAAGACTGGGAAGAGGGAAAAAGGCAAGGCACTGGCTCTGACTTTCAAGGAGGTAAATATCCTCACATCTGGAATGTCAGTTCATAGCTGGGGGCCTATGGCTCCTACGTTTTGCACTTCTTAAGAATTGTTTCTTATCAAAGCTGTGTCCTGTGGTTAGTCCTCATATGCTTACTTATATTTTAAGAAGCCTGGGATGATCAACGTTTGATTCCATACTAGCTGAACCCATGCTTCGCTGCGGAAGATTAATTTGATTTTTTAAATTTGTCATAACCTTTTGTCATAATCATCATCATCTTGACTTTATGGTTTATGCATCATTGCCTGTTCCAAATTCAAAAGCTTTCAGACCATCATTTCCATCTGTTTTCTTCTCTTGTAGACTAAAATTTTTGACATGGGTGACCTACCAATCCCCGTGATCTGGCCTCCGGAATAAGAGATTTAAGTTATATAGATATAGATAGATGTTGTAAAGAATTGTCTAAAAGCAGGGCGGATTAAAGGTTACCAATCAGAACATTCCTTAGAAAACAAGCCCATGTCAAGTGGATCACTTACGTATTCGATTTCATTTTTATGGCACACTTTGCATTTAAAAAACTCACGTGTCTGCCTGGTAGATGCACACTTCTCGACAGAAGGCTTTGCACGTGATCTAAAAGATGGGCTAGGTTGGTTTAACAGAAAGTAACATGGCATTTAAAGATTTTCGTTTTGAGTTCTTTGCAAAAGAGAGAGTATGGGCTGGAGAAGGGATTTTGGTTGTCTAAGAGAAGACAATTTTTTTTTTTAACATACTGAGATCTGTAGCTTTACAAAGATCATTTCTGGAATATTTTACATGGTATACAAGAGCTATAATGTGCTATTTGTTGTAGGAACGTAAATAAGCCTGACATTGTACTAGAACAGAGAAGGTTCTGCTATTATATGCTAGAACTACATTCTTTCTTACCCAGAATGGAGTTCTCTTTGCTTTGGCCATGAGCTGAATTCATAAATGTTGAAGGTAGAATGAGAAGGGTTAGCTTCAATTTTGCTTTGGCATTATCCTGTAAGGATTAAAGACTGTTGCTTTGAAGTCATTCGCATGCTTCTCTCTTGCTTTCTATTCTTCAGGAACACTAGTCGCTCTTGCTTGATATTCTATTGAATGAAAAACAAAAGCGTCCTGTCCATAAAGTTAATGTTTTATACCTCTAGTCTGTTGGACCCTTGTAAAATTTAAACAAATTTCTTTGAATGTTGTTTGCAATGTGGTTTAGATGGCAGATCAGAAGGTGCAGTTTATACGCAACTTATATATTAACTAAATATTATTATATATAGTGAGCACAAACTTTCATGAACACAAGTTCATTTCATCAGATGCTTTACAAGGACATGTAGGAAGCAGAATATGAGCATCTCTCCTTATACTCTGTTTTCTGCATATCCTTTCACATCATCTGATGAAATGAACTTGGGTTCACAAAAGCTTGTGTACCTTCTTTATTTATCTTATTTAGTTAGTCTACAAGGTGCATATTTAGCCTGCTCTCTGACTGACTTCCGACTAAAATAGCCATGACTTTCGTCTGAGTGCAGTTTTGTTAGGGGTTTATACCAATACAAATAGACTAAAGTCTTGGCCAGCAAAAGGTCACAGATTCATCGTAATTTTTAAAGTGCTATGACTGGCTCCACTGGATTTGGAAGACTTAAAAGCAGAGCAGTAAAGTACCAAATCGGGTAAGGAGAGATTGCTAGTGTGGGTTGGAGAGAACAGCCTAACATTTAATCTCTGTTCAGAGACACGTATCATTAAAGGCTCATATGACTCCATTTATAATGTGGATGTGCACAGGTTACATGTCTTTAATACCAAGTCACTGAAAGAATCAATAAAGGAAGCAACAGAGGAATGCTTTACAAGGCTTTTCTTGCCATAGCGAGCTCCATTTGTATATCTACTGAAGTGCATAATTAGCTAAAGTGCATAACACAGTGTCACTCCCAGTTCATCCATTGCTTACAATGTAACTAATCATCAGTTACCTGCATATCAGTCAAGTGCATAACCTGCTTAAGACAAGAGCATAGCATCTTTCAGCCCCCACTGTCTACTTTGTAACTTGTACTCCTGCTACCTGCATATTAACTGTGACTTTTACTCTATAACTAATTGTACTTCCTTTAATTGTCAGAGAAACAGTGAAGAGAAAGCAGCTGTCAGAAAACTGCTTCTAGAAGCTTTGAAAATGAGGGGGATTAATTAGTTTTAGGCTTGTTAATGCAACAGCACCCTGTACTCAGTTAACATTGCTTACATTAAGTTGGATAGGTGCAGCCTTGGTAATTGGGCAGCTGTTTTTCAGCCCTGTGGCTATGCTCTTAAAACAGAACTTACTGTATTTTTAGAATTTTATAAATTGCTGTATGCATAGGGGGGTTATATGGGGGTTTTATTCTGCTTCAGTGAAAAAACTATTTATTTACTTACTTTGAAGTTTGAAAACTAGGTTTTGTTACTTTTCCTCTCCAGTCATGGGTGGATGAAGGAGCAAGATGGCAATGCCATCTATGGGGTAGCAGCTGCAGGGGAGAAAAATCTTGCTTAAATATATTGTATGTAGAAATATACCAAGGGGCTGTAGTCTTGTGGCACAGAAAAGTAATAGAAAGCACTGCACTGCCTCAGCATGAAGGCTTGTTTGCACTTTGGCAATTTCAGGTATTTGTTTCTATACAAAAAGAACAATCTCAAAATGTTACATTAAAACAGAAATCAGTTATGTTTCCCCTCAAATGGGGAGAATGAAGTTTTAAGTCTGATGTGTAACTTTCCAAACGTTAATTACTTGACTAAGGAAATCTTCTCAAGTCTTGCATTTATGATGATTTTGGGACAATATATTCCATTCTTTTGTTTTAGCTTTACAAGAAGCGGGGTGGGGAGGAAGTTGCAAGTCATTTGAATAAAGAGCGTAGGCTAACATTTGCTAGACTGACAAATGACTTTGAGTGTTCAACCTTGAAATGAGCTTGAGTTTATGGTGCATGTGTGCATGTTAAAAAAACAGAGGGCAGGTGTTCAGAATTTTCTGGAAATCAGGTTCCCATCCAGGTGTTTCACCTTAGGTACTTAAGTTACCCAGGCCCTTCACTGCTGCTTTTGCATGCACACATATATAGTTAAAGAGACTATAAAAGGCAATTTGAGAAAGAGCTTTAAAATGGATATTTTTTTCCCATCATGAGAAAATGTAGAAATGCCCTTAGGAGCGTTGTTGGTGAAGGACAGTAAACGAGTTCAGTTTAGCCTGAGACCAAAGAAGTTGTCTGGATAAATGCAACTAGCTAAATGTGTATAGCAAGGTATAACACAGGGTTTCCCAATGTCACTGAAGTAATAACAGTTAGTACCAGATGATGATCTGCCCAAAAGGCTGCACTTTGACCTGATGTGAGCATGATTTAGCATTCTCTGTGATTAAGAACTGTTGCCACCTTTCTAGCTGCTATTCTGATACTGATGTGAGTGAACAGTTCTATTTTTCCTATCATTTTATTTCCTCTGTTTGTTATTTTGTTGCATTTGTTAGTTATAATGCCTGATCTTTCCC